TTCGCTCCCAGCTGCGGGCACGAGGAGCGCAGGAAGCGAGGACTCCAGGGGCCGGGGACTTCGGGGGCCGCTCCCGGAAGCGGAAAGCAGCCCGCGGGAAGGCCCCCTCCTGGGACTGCTCGGGCCCCCCGAGACTTGGCGCAGCCCTCCACGCTTCTGGAGGTGGGGAGGGCCTCTGGACAGATGGGTGTCCCCTGGTGCCCCTCCACTCTTCTCTTCCTCTCTTTTTTGGGGGGAGAAACCTCGGAATTTCTATGAGACCCCCCAGGGAAGGGGTCGGTTGGGCCCCCATCCCTCTCCCTGCCACATCTCAGTCCCTGTTGGAATAAAAAAAAGAACAAAACCCCAAATGGGGATACCGGGTCTCATTTCCTGGGAGTGTGAGGGCATTGGAGGCTTGGGTGCCTGGGGAGGCAGCTGGGAACCACCGCCTCGACGGTCACTTCCACGTTCTCGGCTCTGCCCGCAGCCAGCAGGTCAGCCCAGGTCCCGCAGCTGGCCCCTCTCCACTGACCTTCTCTCAGGACAGAGGGAGGCTGCGACAGAGACCCTGAGACAGATGGAGAGAGATGCAGGGATCTGGAGAGGCGGAGACACCGGAAACCGAGACACAGAAAGAAACCTGATGGGGTTGGGGGAGGGGAGGGCGGGCCGGTGAGCTGTTCAGTGTGGCGGTGCCTTGGGTGGCGCCTATGGTGGCGAGTGTGTGCTTGGGCCAGGGTGATGCGGTGACTTTGTGATTGTGTGCGTGTGTACATCCGTGAGGCCATCTTCCACTGTCTGTGACTGTGACCCCGTGTTTCTGCTGAAAATGTACCTCCCCAGCCCCCAGGAGAGGAAGTGAGAAATCCCAGTGGGGGGGGGGGGCTGGGGGCGGGAGAGGATGAAGGGCTGGCTGGCTGTGCAGGGAGAAGGGTGGGTCTGCCTTCTGTCCCCGCCCTCTCTCGCCCCGCTGGAGGTTTCTGTGGAAACTGCAGCTGAGAAAGGACGAGTTGAAGGTCACACAGCAAGCGCCAAAACGAGGCCGAATAGAACGAGGAGAGATGGAGGGACGAGGAGAGACAGAAGGGGAAGAGACAATGAGGGGGTGCAGAGTGAGAGAAGAGAGGATGGGAGAGATTTGGGAGCAAAGGAGGGGAGACGGGGAGATGCTGGGGCGAGGAGAAAGATGAGAGCAGACTGGAGGACCGGAGGGCCAGGGCAGAGGTGAAGCAGGGAGGGTAAAGGGCATGGGGAGTTGGGGTGGGAGACAGAAGCCATGAAAGACTAATCGGAGCCTGGAGAGCACCAGAGCAGCGAGAAAAGCTGGGCTGAGAGGGTCCCAGAGAGGGAGAGGGCAGAGGTTGGACCCGCCTGTCGGCCGCCGCTCGGAGCCCGGGAGCTGTCCGTTCAGCACCCGGGCCTGGCGCGCAGCCGTGCGGGTATTCCCTCCAGGGCCGCCTGCCTCCCGCAGTCCTGGCGGGCGGGCCACACCCCGGGAGACCCCATGCTCGGCCGCTTCACTCAGCGCCCCAGTCTCCGCCCATCCTCTTCTGTATCGCAGACACTTGCTGCCTGTGCGCCCCTCGGGGACGGGTGTGGGGGGCGCACCAGCCTCTCTTTTGTCTCAGCATCTCTGTTGTCTCCATATCTCTTTTACAGACTGCAATCAGTGTCTCTGTCCTTGGGCTGGATTCTGTCTGTCGAAGTGATTGAAATATGGCTGCAGATATTTCTGTTCTTTACCCCTCTCTGTTCCTGTACCCTAAGGCTGGTCTCCTCTGGGGTCTCTCCCTATTTCTGAGTCCCCATTCCCTAGCAAGGTTCTGCTCAGGGCCTCTCCCTGGTCTTTATCTCTGAGTCTCCCTAGTTTGCCAAACCGGTCTCCGCCTAGCTCTGTGAGTTCCTGTCTCTCTGTCACCCTCACTGAGTACTTCTGTTGTTCTGTCACCCTCTGTTTTCCAATCTCTGTCTTTGCCAATCTCTCTGTCTGTCTTTTTCAGTCTGTCTGTTTCTGCCTCTCTCTGGTTCTGGACTGTGTGTCTGTTTCTCCTCATGTCTCTCCTTCTGTGTCTCACTCCGAGCTCCCTTGTCCCTCTCCATCCCTGTGACCTTCCTAAGTCTTCCCTCCTCAACCCCCCCCCACTTCTGCAGAGCCTCGCTGGGAGAACGATGCAGTCATCAGTCTCGCCAGGCGTGTCTTAGGAAGGAGTGCATGAGAGGGGATGGGACCCTGGGTCTGAGGTGGAATGTGAAGGGCCTGAGGCCTCCCCCAGCCCAGCTGGAGAGCAGGAAGAAAGAGAGGCTAGAATCTCCTGGAATCCGAGCCTTCCCCCCACCTCCCCAGGCTTCTCTGTCTCCCCAGTCCCATCCTCCATGATCCGGGCCTATACCTCCGATCAAGGTGTCAAGAGAAGGGGATTAGCTATTGACGAGTTCTCCCTCCCCCACGAGGGGACAGAGTTGGGGAGTGGGAATCTGGGGGCAATGTACCTGATTTAAAAGATGTAGCTCCTCCCCCTTTCCCAGTCTCCATGGCAACAGCCCAGTCTGCAGGCCCAGCCTCCCTTCCTGCAGAGTCGGCCTCCCTGTTGCCATGGCAACAAGGGACAGCGGGACGGATGGGGACGGGTCAGAGAACAGGACTGGGATGAGGTGCTGGGTACTGGGGGAAGCCTCCCTGCCTCTTTGGTCCTGTCCTTGCCCATCTCTCTGTGGCTCCGAATCTCTGTCTCTGTTTCTGTATGGCTCACTCTGGCCTTCAGCCTTTCACACATTTCCCTGACCAGGTCATTAAGCTTCACCCACCTCACCCCCATACACAAAGCTCACTCCTTGTCATTTGCCTGTGTCCCTCATGCGTCCACTCCCATAGGTGGGGAAGATGCCCACACATCGAGAAAGCTACAAGGTCAAGAGCTCCTCCCCTCTCTCTTTCTCTCTCTCCCCCTCTGTCTCTATCTCTATGTCCATCTCTCCCTCCCCACTTCCATGTCCAGGGAGAGTCTGAGTTATCCTTCATGGAACAAAGTGGTGTCGGGGTGGGCGTGGGAGACCCCGACTTGTTAGTTACTAGTGGTGGCCTCAGTGAGTAGATGGCAGACCTGGGTGTGGATGCTGGCTGTGCGTCTGTGTGTGTACATATACATACTGGCTGTGTGGTGTGTGCATGGTGGTGTTGGGGTGTGTTTGGAGATGCAACAAAGGTGTCTGTGATAGTGCTGCAATACGTGATGTGTGTATATGTGGGAGGTGTGTGGGAGGGTGTCATGTGACTTGTGTCTGTGAATTGTGCTGTATGTGAGTGTGCCCACCTTTTTGTCATCCACAGAGAGCAACAATTTGGCAATTTTGCACTGTGGGCCCAGACACACTGGGAACAGTGTGTGTGATGATGTGTGTGACATTGTGAGATCATGCAATGATGTCCACAAAGACTCCTGTAGTGTGTCTGGAGACAGTGTGAGGCCTGTGCATATGGGATGGTGCTCAGTGAAAGTGTGTGTTGGTTTATGGGTTGCACGGCTTGTGTCTCCATATGAGATGGTGCGAGGTCAGGGGTTAGAGTGTGTGATGTGTGAGTCTGTGATGTTGTGTTCTGAGGGTGTATGCTAGTCTGCGTGGTACTTTATGGCTGTGACTGTGATTCTATTGTGGTGTGATGGGTGTGCCAGATGTGTGCTGTATGTGTGCTTCATTCTTATGTTTTTGGGAGTCTCTGGAGTTGTGCAATGGGGTAGTGTGGTGTCTGTGAGGGTACAGGCTGGTGTGTGATGGAATGTGAGTGTAACCCCGTGGAGGTGTGTGTGTGTCCCCAGCGTCTGGGCTATCTGGGTGATGGTCGTGTGTAACTGTGATGCTGGGCATTTTCAGGGTCTCCCAGGGCAGTCCTCCATTGTATTGTGTCTCCTGTGTACCCTGTGTGGTTGTGTCTCACTAGATAGTGAGCCATAGTGGGGGGGGACACATAGTGAGGAGATCTCAGGGCTCCTCCCTTCACAGCACCCTTCCTTAATTTGAGGGTCTTCCTTGCTCTCTTGTGACACCCTCTAGCTTCCCTTTCTGCAGGTTCCTCCCCTGAACAGCGCCCCAGTCTCCAGGGCCCCCTTACCACACTGCTCCCCTGGGCCCTCTGCTTTATTGCGGTGGTTCTCGGGGCTTTCTCCCCACCTTGTATCACCCCACCTAGAGAACCCGTCTCCCTGGTGACACGCCCCCAAAATGAGGGGATTTCCGGGCTCTTCTTCCCTCAGCGCCCCCTCCTTGGAAGCCCCACCCCACATCGAGGGGATATCCAGGTCGGTCCCTTCTTGCGGGGGTCTCCGGGAATCCCCTGTCCCCCCGCAGCGCTCCCCCATCTCGCTGCGCCGCCACTTTGCGGAGACCGGGGGGCTGGACAGCTGCAGTACCGGGGGCGGGGCCACGTGCCGTCCATCAGCGCAGCGGCGCCCCTGATTGGCCAGCGCCGCCCCCCTCCCGCGGGCGCGGGCATATGAGGAG